GACGGGGTGAGGTGGAGGGATGGGGTCAAGCGCCCAACCAGACGCATGGCGCAGTTTGATGAGGCAATGCCGCTAGGAGGGGCAGTAGAAGGAGGGGGGGAGGGAGTGAGGGGAGGGGGAGTAGCGAGGGAGGAGGGGGAGCAGGTGGAGGGAGTTAGGAAGGGGAGGGGGACGACGAAGGGAAGAGACAGGGGAGGGAGGGTTTGAGGGGTGGAGGGAGCCCCCCTCCTGGGCGCGCGCGTTCCCTCGCAAGCCGTGGAGCGTTCCCCCGCCCGCGCGGGAAGGGGCGGGATGTGGAGCAGGGAGAGCGATGAAGGAGGGGAGGGAGGAGGAGGAGGAGGAGGAGGAGCAGGAAGGAGGATGAGAATCAGGAGCCCAACATTCATCAGCGATGCTGCAGTACGCCCGCCCGTTCCAAGTCCCCTCCTCGAACGCCCCTGAAAGAGCTCCTCTCCACCGCGGGACGTGACCATTGAGAGACGATGGCCCCATGGTCCTACGATTCAGGCAGGAGCCCTGTTTTGACAAGGAGTTGACATCAAGGCTTCTAGCTATCAGGACGGCAACGGGGTAGGATCAGAAAGTCCACGGCAGTGTCCAGCGCAAGCCCCGCTTTGAAAGCTGGTGTCCCTTGATCCGTACACCTGTTCTCCAGGTGTCAGCGCCTGGCCAACACGCGGAAGCACTTCTCAAGTGAGAGCCCCACCTTGGAGAAGGAGCCGTCTTACAAACAGTGGTAGAGATCTGGACTTAATGAGTCCGGGCGTCTCAAGCGACAGTCTTGCGTTGAAAAGGAGCTGCCCTCCATGTGATGTACAGCTGGAATCGTTGGGGACGAGCGCGCAGCGCTAATAGGCGAGAGCCACGAACTGACCCGCCCTCGTGAAGCTTCCGGCAACCCGTGAGACGAATCTGCGCGGGGCTACGGCGAGAGCCGCATGGTGACAACGCCCCCCTTTTCCATCCATGCACGCGATTGACACGTTTAAGATGGATGTGCGCAGCGCTGATACGCTAGCCACGTGCCGACACGGAGCCGCTCGCCATCCGTGCCATTGGTCGGGATCATGTGTTGGACGATTGTGCGCGGTGCTAGGGCGTTGAGCCGCATTTCGAAAACGATCCCGCTTCATCGGTGTTGCTCTGGGATGTGTTGAAGACGAGTGTGCGCGGCGCTAAGGTGAGATCCACAGCTGGAGCACCCCCCTCCATCCGTGTGCCGTTCGGAGTCCCTGTAAGACGAAGGTGCGCGGCGCTACGGAGAATGCCGCATCTTGAACTTGAACCCCCTCTCACACGTTCAGCTGTGCAAAGCTCTCAAAACGAATGGTACCGACACTAGAGGCGAGAACCACAGTTCGAACACCATCATACAGTCGGGGCCCTGAAGAAGGAACCCTTTTGGTTGGGGAGGGGCTCCGCGTTCTTTAAGTGTTTCACAGCTTTCCTCTGGTTCTCCTTATGTTTTCGATAGGAAATCGAAGTTTAATTTTTGGAAAACAGGGGCCTCGTTCCTTATTTAGGGTTCCTTAGGTCAACGCCCCGACTGTACCTCCATCCGCGTAAGTGTGAGATGTTTCAAGCTGTGGTGTCAGAAAAGGGGGGGGGCTCTCAGGCGATCTGCCCAGCCTGCCCAGCCGACGCGTCGTTGGTCAGTGAGGGGTCTTGTTCTGTAAGAGGAAGGGGTGGGGGAGGGAGGAGGGGAAGGAGAAGGCAGGCAGGGGGATGGAATGATCATGAGGCAGGTGGAGGAGGAGGTTGAGTTGGAGGAGGAGGAGGAAGAAGAATAGGAGGAGGAAGAGGAGGAGGAGGAGGAGGAGGAGGATGGAACGGGGAGGAATTGGGAAGGAGAAAGGAGGAGGACGGAGCAAGGAACAAGGAGGAGGAGGAGGAGGAGGAGGAGGAGAGGAGGAGGAGGGGGAGGAGGAGGAGGAGGGAGAAGGGCGATGGAATGGCAGGGGGGCGAGGGGAAGAGGGAATCGGTCTGGCGTGGCGAACCTGCCTGCGGCTCGAAGGTCGAAGGAAGAGGAAACACGATGATTGATGATGGAGGACAGGAGCAGACAGGCAGGAGGGAGGAGGGGAGGAGGAGGAGCAGGGGGAGGGAGACGTGGATGGGAGAGGACGGAAAGGAGGGGGTGCTGGAGGAGGATGAGGAGGATGAACAGGAGGAGGAGGTGGAGGAGGCGAGGAGGACGATGAGGAGGACGAGGAGGACGAGGAGGAGGAGGAGGAGGAGGAGAGGAGGAGGAGGAGGAGGAGCAGCAGCAGGGGAGAAGGAGGAGGAGGAGGAGGAAGAGGAGGACGGCGGGGGAAGAGGAGGAGGAGGCGGAGGAGGGGAGGAGGAGGAGGAGGAGGGAGGAGGAGGAGGAGGAGGAGGAGGGAGGAGGAGGAGGAGGAGGAGGAGGAGGAGGAGGAGGAGGAGCTGGTGGAGGAGGAGGAGGCGGAGGGAGGAGGAGGAGGAGGAGGAGAGGGCCTGAGGGGGAAGAGTGAGGAGGAAGCGAGAGGAAGAAAGGAGGATTGGTGAGAGGTCCTTCTCCCTGGGAGAAGGAGGAGGAGAAGGAGGATGAGGATGAAGAGGAGGAGGAGGAGGAGGATGAGGGGGAGGAGGCGGAGGAGGGGGAGGAGGGAGGAGGGAGGAGGGAGGAGGGGGAGGAGTCTATGGCAGGTGGCATCCAGCACCTGTTGGCCGGAGCCCGCGCGAGCGTCGGCGTCACGTCCGGGAGGCACATGTTCGAGGTGCCCGGCGCCGCGTCCCAACCATCTTCCAGTTGCGTGGAAGAGTCTACGATCAGGAGCTTTGGTTTGCGTGTCGCGTCGCGCGTGTTGGCTCACAACGCTTTGGCGCGACACGCTATCCACGTCCCGGTCCCCACGCGTCAACGTCTTAAGCCTTGCCCAGCCTCCCGTTCCGCGTAGCGGAGAGTCACGCTATCCACTTGCAGGACATACCATGTCGCCAGGGCCGCCGCCGCGACATACTAAAGCAAAAACTCCTGACTGTAGTATCCCGCTCAGGGTCGCTCTGCATCGCCGATGCATCGCACATCGGAGATACACTTTGACGTGGAGCCAGAATATCTCCACGTCGACGACTCCAATCCGTCGCCGACGGCGACGATGCGTCTCCGATGCATCGGTGATGCGGCACGATCCTCCTGCTCCATCTGTTCGGACCCGGTTTGGGAGGCCTCCAAAGAAGGGGTTCGAAGATTGGGTCGTGCGAAAGAGCCCAGGGCGGTCATGAGGGGGGTGATGTCTACAGGGGAGGGTGATATTATGGCCAGGACCATGATACCTCCCGGAGTTCATGACCCCATTTTTTGTTGTGTTTCTCTTTTCATGTATTCCCGCCCCCCCCCTCTCCACCTGTTCGTCCTCCTCCTCCTCCTCCTCCTCCTCCTCCTCCTCTGCACACATGCCTCGGCCCATACTTTGCGACCCCCCCGCTTGGACGCCCCCCTCTTGGACGCCCCCGAGTCGGGCAAAGGGGGGGGAGGGCGAAAGGGGGCGTACGAAATTGGTTTTGGCCCAGCCGGGCACTGCCGTCAATGCGCTGGTGCCCCCGTCGCCATGGGGGCGCTAAGAAACCACCCTGTTTGCCTCCAGGGTGCCCTGGGTTTCTTAGGTTTCGATGGTTTGGTTGTGGAAAGCGTGACGTTCCTACACCAAACACCCATGGACGTCCTTTGGTCTCAGGGTTGGGTTCCTTGTGGAAGGTTTCTTGTGGTCGGGCCTCCACTGTATATTTTCGAATGTCCGCTCATATTCCTTGGATCGCCGCTGGGCTCTCCGTCTAGCGGCGTCGCCCCTGGCACGTTCCGCGGCCAGGACAGTGGGATCCAGAGGCTATTCACGAGTGGGGTTCCCTGCTGGTTCGAAGCGGCGGTGCTTCAATGGATGCGGGCAGCCATGCAGGTCCAAAGGCATCAGCTTCAAGGCCTCTTCGGTCATGATGTTAGCTCGGCCGACACATACCCACGAGGCAAGTCGACAGTACATGCGCTGCGCCTCGTACGCCTGCTAATCTCGAGGCCTACCCTGAAGTGGTTTCTCTGATATTGTCCGAGACTGTACGGCTACTCGCTACTCAAGGGTCTGTGGGAAGTTCTGCCACCGTGCCAGTGCATCATCGTGTGTTGCGACAGCTGTAGGTCTGAGCAGAAGGCCGTAATTTGTCACAGCTTATTTCCTCGAGCTACCGATGGAGGAGGAGGAGAAGGAGGAGGAGGAGGAAGAGGAGGGGGAGGAGGAGGGGGAAGAGGAGGAAGAGGAGGAGGAGGAGGAGGAGGAGGAGGAGGAGGAGGAGGAGGAGGGAGGAGGAGGAGGAGGAGGAGGAGGAGGAGGAGGAGGTGGTCTTGATGTTTCTACATGTGACGGTGCACTGGGCCCGGGGGCACGGGGCCAGGCTCTCGGCCGCAAATGTGGGGCCCAGGGGCTGGGCCCGCCTCGTGGGGGTCCCAGAAGCGCCCCAGAGAGCGGTCCGACGGGCGTCACGGCGCCCCAAGACAGGCGCGATCCACCCTCAAGACGGCCTCCAGGGGTGTCCGACGGCCCACGAGGCGTCCAAGACGGCCCTGGAGGCGTCCAAGACGCTTGAAGACCCCTCCAAGGGGTTCCCCAAGAGGGCCCCGACAAGCCCAAATCGCCCGATCCCCTTTATAAAACATGTTTTTCTAGCATATCCGCTTTTTTGTGTCCTCGTACGAGTCCTTGACGACCTCAGAGGCACCATAGACCGTCCCAAGATGGCCCAAGAGGCCCCCACGAAGAGGGCCCCAAGACGGCCCAAGAGTGTCCCGAGACGGTCCAAGAGGCAGACGGCCCAAGTGGCCCCCCCAAAAGCCCCAAGAGGAGCCCAAGAGGCCCGCGAGAGGCCCGCGAGAGGCCCCAGGAGGCCCCCAGGGGGCCCCCAAGAGGCCTGCGAGAGGCCCTCGAGAGGCCCCAAGGAAGCCCCCAGGAGACTCCTGAGAGGCCCCAGCTGCAGGAGTGTTGGGCGGGGCATTTTGATGTCTCGATTCGAGCCAACCCGGAACGGGCGGGCCCCGCGGACCCTCCGACGAAGGGCCTCAGGAGGCCCGCCATTTCGGAAGCGCTCGCCTCCCATGGGCTCACGCCGGCCCAGGCCGCTGGGGCCCCCTCTCTTGGGGGCTAGAGCTCGGCGACAGCAGGGGCCATGGAGCCCGCTCTCTGGGATTAACGTTGGCAGGACGCCCCCCCGTGGCAGGATCCCGCCTCCCTTCCTGTCGCCGCTCCAGTTCGTCATCTCTCCTCCTGCCTCCTCCTCTTCATCCCTCGACCCTGATCTCCATCCTGGCTCCTCATCCCGCGTCCCTCCGCCTGCCTCCTCCCTCGGCCTCCCTCCTCCCTGCTTCCGCCTCCCTCCTCTTTCTGCATCCCCCCCTCCCCGAACCTTCCGAGTTCCCCCCATCCCTTGTCCTCATCTTCCTCCCTTGTCTTCCAGCTTTTTTTCCTCCCACAAAGGTGAAGATGGTCGAAATGGTGAACGCGGTTGATCCAGGCCTCGCGTGTTGGGCCCGGACCGCCTTGATTGCAGCGGGTTGAGGGTGCGAGGAGGCGCAGGAGTAGGGGGGCAGGAGTATTGGGGGGGAGGGGGCGTCGCTTTTGCCAAGTCGTGCGAGTCAGAGTGCCTCGCCAATTCCCACGCCCCTTCCAGGACTCAGCTCGCTTTCTCCGCGTCGAGCCCGTTTGATCCCGATCGTTTCCGATTCCGATTCGATGCGACCTGGGATTCCGATCTGGACTCCGATTTCTTGGTGGAGGCTTTACTGACCTGCCGCTGTCCGCCCATTCGACTTCTCCCGACTTGGGTGCCGATTCCCGCTGATCCCATCCATTCCGTCGGCCGAGTCGATTTACCGATTCGCTTCTGGGCCCTTCTGCTCTTCCCACAATACAAACACTCAATTCGGGCATACAGTCGGGGCGTTGAAGAAGGAACCCTTGTCGTTGGGGAGGGGCTCGGCGTTCCCTGACTGTTTCGCAGTGTTCCTGAGTTTTTTCTTAGGTTTTCGATGGGAAGCCGAAGTTCAACGTATTGGGCAAAGGGGCCTCGTTCCTTATTCAGGGTTCCTTAGGTCAGGGCCCCGACTGTAACTTGCTGTTGGGATCGCAACGCCTTCCCACCCAGCAAGCGGAAGGCGCTCGCGCGCGGCGCCGCCCCCGACGCCCTGGCGTGGGGGCTGCGGCATGCGCACAGAGCCTGGGCGAGGGCGGCAGGTCGCCCGCCCGCGCAGCCCCCAAACAGGTCTGAGCGCAGCACATTCGTGGCATCGCTCGGACGTGTGCAGTTTTCCCTCGGCGAGGACCCTCGAGGAGCATCCTTGCTCACTCGTCGGAAAAACCACGTGCGAAACCGAAAAAACACAGGAAATGGACGTCCGAGCCATGGCCAGATGTACTTGGCATCGCTCGGACGTGTGCATTTTTCCTCCGGCGAGGACCATCGAGGAGCATCCTGGATTTTTTGGAGAAGAACAACGCACGACACCGGACAAAAAACACAGGGAATGGACGTCCGAGCGATGGCCAGATGTACGCATCGTCAAAACGGGAGCGCCAGCGAATCCTGCGCGGCGCCGGGGCGAGGGCGACATCTTCGCCAGTGCGAGCGTCGACGAAGCTGTTCTGCGATGGACGGGCGTCGCGCCCGAGCGGGACTTCCATGCCCCAGAATACCGAACACGCGGCGCCGACACGAGAACGACATTTCGGCCTTTCGCGCGGGGTGGGCGCCCTGTCCTACTCCTTACACCCGTTCTGCCAGATGGACGATGTAATGTCCATGTTGGAAGCGAAGGTGTTGATTTTGAATTGTTGGCGAACCGTTGGGATGGGAGGTTGCGGATTGGCAGGGTTGGGGTACATAGTTGCTCCAATGAGGCATAAGGATAGGGCGGCGGGTGGGGGGCTGAGGGAGGAGGGCGGGAGGGAGCGAGGGGAAGGTATGGTGGGAGGGGGGGTCTCAAGGGGCGCGCTGTGAGACAGCGCTGCGGGCGGGGCGAAGCTCGAAGTTAGAGGGTGCAGTGGAGGAGCAGATGAAGGGGCGGATGATGATGATGATGATGATGATGATGATGATGATGATGATGATGATGATGATGATGATGATGATGATGATGATGATGATGATGATGATGATGATGATGATGATGATGAGGAGGATGAGGAGGAGGAGGAGGATGATGATATGATGATGATGATGCTGATGATGCTGCTGATGATGATATTGATTCCGATTATGATGATGATGAGGATGATGATGATGACGATCATGATGATACTGATGATGATGCTGATGACGGTGATGATGCTGATTATCATGACCATGACGATGCTGATAATGATGATGATGCTGATGGTGATGATGACGATGGCAACGATGACGATGATGACGATGGTGACGATGACGTTGACGACGATGGTGACGATGATGACGATGACGATGAAGATGCGCTGCTGACGATGATGATGATGATGATGATGATGATGATGACGACGACGACAATGACGATGACGATGATGACGATGATGACGATGATGGCGATGATGACGACGACGACGACGACGACGATGATGATGATGATGATGATGCTGATGATGATGATGATGATGATGATGGTGATGATGCTGATGCTGATGCTGATGCTGATGATGATGAGGATGATGATGATGATGCTGATGCTGATGCTGATGCTGATGCTGATGCTGCTGCTGCTGCTGATGATGATGATGATGATGATGCTGATGATGATGATGATGATGCTGATGATGATGATGATGATGATGATGATGATGATGATGATGATGATGATGATGATGATGATGAGGGACCGACGTGCTTTGGCCGTAACCGTTGCTGTCCACTCCTTGGGGCGCTTCTGGACCAGTAAACGTATCCCCTGGAAAGTGCGGAGAGGTATGCTGATTTGCTGCGTTCAGAATGCAGCGTTGCATGGCAACGAGCGTTTTTCCCCAAGCAGTGCTTGTACTGAAGGGGTCCTAGCGGAACTTGAAGGGTTTGGCGAAAGTTGGCGGCCGATTTCGGTGGGCCGCTGGGTTCTGGGGTTCCCGGTTCTGGGTTCCCGGGTTCCGGGTTGCTGGTTCCGGGCCGATTTCGGTGGGGGGCGGGGTTCCTGGGTTTTTTTGAGCCCTGGTTTTTGGTCGATCTCCTCATCGATCAGTCTCACCATCGATCTCATTACCACCTCTCGATCGATCTCACTATCGATCTCACTATCCATCTGACTATCGATCTCACAATCGATCTCATTATAGATCGCACGCGCGATCTCACGTTCGATCTCGCTAGCGATATCATTGAATCGGCGAGTCGACTTTCCAATCGGTCTCACGATCGACCTTAGTATCGTCCTCAGTATCGACCTCAATATCCATATCAATAATTTTCGAACCATCCACTAATAATTGAGAGGCCCTAGATAAGCAAGTTGCACGCGATGCACGTTTTGCGATGAGAGGCGCAGCACACACAGCAGGAGGAGTAGAAGGAGGATGAGGAGGAAGAAGAGGAGGGCAAACAGCGCATCGAACACAAGTGGATGACTACCTCGGAGTTGCTGGCATGATGGCGTATGGCCCCGTGGAAGTTACAGTCCCAAGTGCGCCGACTAAACCAATACCAAGTCATAGCACGCTCACCTCATCACAACGATCAAGTCCTCACATCACTGTTTGGTAAGCACACCTCCGACGCGCACGACACGGTACACGAGGACGACATTACAGAGCACGCCAGGCCCTGGGCAAGCCGAAAACGAGATGATACAATCGACAGCTTTGGTGAGATGGATGATGGGTGCCTTCAGATATTCCGTGATCCTGAGCTTTGGTCAGTGCGTCGGCAATTCCTCCTCCAGGTTGGACCTCAGAGTCTGTGCCCTGTTCTGCCCCGCTGTGCTCACCCTGTCTGCAGCAGGATAAAAAGGGAGAGTGGACATGTTGGCCCGAGGTGGCAGAGGGAGTCGGCTGTTTGAAAAAGTTCCCTTCCTTCAAAGCTGTCGCACATTACCGTCTCGCCTATCACGGCTTCTGTGGCCCTGTGGGTGTCTTCGGTGGTGAGCAGCGCGTGCCCGTATTTTTTGAGGGGCCGGTGGGTCGACCGTGTTACGGTGTGGGGTGTGTGTGCAAATCGCTGCCGGTATCGTGGGGGGCATGTTGTATCTGGGTCAACGTTCGGGGGACGAAATCTATACATATCCACTGCTCCCTGGCCAGGCCCATTCTGAACCCAGGAGCTGTGTATACGCCCTCCTGGCCAAACCAGGAGGGCGTGGCGTATACACAGCTGCTGTGTTCAGGATGGGCCTGGCCAGGGAGCAGTGGATATGTATAGATTGCGTCGCCCTAAACGTGTCAAGTTTTTTTTGTTCGTACGAGTTTGGCACTCGCTCGGGATTGCAAGGGCATGTACGGACGCACGCTCCACCATGTGGTTCTCTGGGAGGCCATGCCGTTGGAGTTGGCGCCCCCCCGCTTGAGGATGGCGCCAAGAAGAGGAGACAGGCGAGCCTCCCGCACAACGGCGCAAACGCGCCGCACGCGACATCGTGGAACCGTCAGGGGATAGAACGGTGACAAGGTTGGTGCTTATCCTCGCTCGCCTCGCGCTGTGTCCAACGCCGCGGGGCCTCGGGATGTGACGGGGAGCTTGTGGCGCGCGATCCTGCTCGCTTCAACGCATCCCAATTGCATGGCAATGAAGGCGGCAGTAGCCACAACAGTGTATCAGGCCATGGCGAAACTCGAGCTCGGTCAGCAGGCACAGCAGCAACTGCAAGAGTTCTGGGCGCAGCACGTGGAGGACAAAACGGCGCAGCAGCTTCAAGGGACGGCCCTTCGCTGCCGCCCGAAGCCCGCGAAGAAGAAGTATGACCAAGCCGAGACCGCCAAGATTGTGCTCGCCCTCGGTCGCGTCCGCTAGTCTATGGAGACTATGGTCGTCGGAGTATTCAAGCAGGTCAACGGAGTGGTGAAGATGGGGCCCGTCCTTGTCGGGGCACACCTTGAGCGATCAGCTCAGAAGCTCCTGGGCGATTACGAGAAAAGCAACAGGTAGTCCGGCTCAGTGCACATCGGCGCGGGGTAATTCGTACACAGCGATCGGCTCTTGACTGTCGTTGAGCAGGGCGCGGTACCTGTGGAGGCTGTATCCAAGATGGTGGCACAGTGACAACTGTGTGTGTGTGTGTACATGTACGCCGTAGACGACGCGGTCGATTTTTTCACGACATCGTGCCCTACGTATGCCGTGTGTGGCGCGATCGTGCTCCGCATTTGTGGGTTTGCGCTAACGCCGTGAAGTTGGTCGGTCATTTTCAGTATGCTGCAGCATTGGCAATGGCGAGCAGAAAGGGTGAATGTTCCCATGGGGGTGAGCACTGATGCGATGGAGTGGTTTGGTCACTTCCATGGGTTGCAGTGCGAACGACCAACCCTTCCTTGGCATGGCGCCACGGTTGCTGATCTTTTACGTGGCCCAA